TATATATATATATATATATATATATATATATATATAATTTTAAAAAAGAATCAATGGGAAACTTTCTCCTTTGTAGCTGGGGACAAAGCTTGGCAATGACCAGCTCCTACCTTGAACCCTATGAAACTGTGCAAGAGAGACATGGGTTTTGAGAATGGAGATGGACAGTGCCCAAACCACAAAGTTCAGAATATGCACTTTTGAGTGTCTGCAAATATTTTATATGGATTTGAACCTTCCTATACAGAAAGGTGACTGCTACAACTGTGACTGAGAGATTGTAGGTTATAATTTTTCTGCTTAGAAATATCACCTGATACTAGAATTGCAAAGAATCTTACCATTTGCTAACCATTTGATCCCACATTTCAGAATCTATAATCTTTGAGAAATGTAGAGCACAAAAATAGTATTATGGATTTTAAATTAGCCGAGACCTCTGAGGCTCTTGGAGCTCCTTGGTGAAGAGTGTTGCCTTTGCTTCTATGGGCCTTGGATCAAGTGAGCCTCCTCTGGAACTCATGGTCTATTCACTTTATGAAATAATAACAAGACCCATGCGAATGCAAATCTTTCATTGATCTGAGGCAACCTTGCTTCATGTAGACATAACTAATATTGTAAAACACCAACTCATCTATTAGTTCAAGAAGCTTTCCCCCCAAAACACCCACCCTCAGAATCTCTCCCCCTTTCAATCTGAAGAACAAGTGCTCAGTACATCATTACACTGATGAAAGTCTTTAGAGCTTTCAAACAACTGACCCTGCAGTCCGAAGTGGCCTTCTGAGTAAAAGGTTGCTCAGGGAAGCTCAATTTTTAGCACAGAATTCTAGGCCAACCCTCAGTTTCTCTCAATAACTAGGAAACCTCATTGCCCTATCTTCCAGTACCATTACTGTTTTAAGATATCCACTGTTTGTCAAATGATTTTTTTTTATATGTAATTTTTCTCTCCAGTAGTTTTTAAGATTTTTATCTTTATTTTTAATGTTCTTTAGTTTCACTATGATGTTTCTATGTTTGGATTACTGTATCTGGCTATACACTATAAGTACAAATATTTGTTTTTAAAATTTCTCAGCTATCATTTCTCCAAATAGTGCTTTTGGGCTATTTTCATTCCTTTTCCTAAAACTCCTATTAGATTCATGTTGGAAATTTTAAATCTATTTTTCTTGTTTCCCTTTCATATATGTTAACTCTTTTGCTTTAAGTGCTATGTTCTGCATGAATTTCTCAACACTAGTGAATTGTTAATAGACAAGTTTTACATCTGACTGCCAGAGTTTGAGGAGTTCAAGTGGAGGGCAAAGGAAAAAGGTGGAGGATTCTCACAATTCAATGAGTTGAGTTGTGCTTAATTCCTAGATATCTATATAATACTCCTATTCTTAGCTGCACCTGATGTGCACAAGTCCATAAATTCTTTTGTTCATCTACTTCACAGGTAATTCTCATGCCAGCTTCCAAGCTGTGTGGATGCAGTTAAGTGATAGGTGGGGGTTTAATTGCTGCATCTAGAATCTACAACTCATGTTGCATTAAGAATTCAAATAAAAGAAACATTATTGAATGTCTTGAATAAATGCATTTATTTTTAAATTAAAAAGCTACCATAAAAGCTTTTGTCCAGTGATGATAATTTCTTGTAAATAAAATCTGTCTCATGGGTATATTTAAGAAAATGCCTGCACTCTGCTAGAAACATATTGCTTCACGTATCTTTACCATTCTTTATCCAATGATAGTCTAGCTTCTGTAGCTACCTGTTCCTGGGACTCACTAGTGGCCTCCACTCAACTTGGAGCACACTAACAAGAATTCTAACTATTCATGTTAGAAGTAGCTCCATTAAAAATCACCTATATTGGGGCTGGGGATGTAGCTCAGTGGTAGAGTGCTTGCCTAGCACTTGTGAGGCCCTGGGTTTGATCCTCAGTAACACATAAAAATAAATAAATAAAATAAAGGTATTGTGTCCATCTACAACTAAAAATATATTTTAAAAATCACTTATTTTATGATGTATTTAAGGTTTTTGATACTCACTTGAAATTGTAAAGACTTGGAAGCAAAATGTAGCATTTTGAGGAAATCAGTGTGTGTGTGTGTGTGTGTGTGTGCGCGTGTGTGTGCGTGTTTGTATTTTATCAATACTGTTAGACCTCACTGGAGAAGCAGAAGTGAGGAAATACAGCTAAAATTTTTATCAGTTAACCATAAAATAATCCTGCTGAGCCTATATATGTTTATGTATGTGTATATACATATATATATGCACATATTTCCACTTTGTCATTTTCTGTTGAAATGCAATAGGTAAGGGACCTTGGTATTTTTAAGTACTTGAAGTCTAGATAAAAGAACTTCACATATTCTTTTGGCTCAATAATTGGCTTGCCATTGGTATATAGCACTTAAGCTAACATTTTAGAGCTGCACAATAGACTAGATTGCAGAGAAAGAATCAGTGTGAGCTTTCTTGGAGTAACTGGCTTCAACTGCTTGTTTAGGTTTGTTTCTTCCACTAGGGTGACATGATACGGAACACGTTGTCCACTTGTCCTAGCGTGGGACTTGGTGTCGTGGTGCTAGGAAGGGTGTGCTGCATCATGCTCCAATTGCCCAGCCCTCTCCCTGAACACAGGGTGCACTGTTTGGGGTTCATCTGGCTGCACAGGCCTTTGGGAATGTGAATATGCCTCACACTGTGTACCAGTCACCTCTGAGAGACTGTACCTCTATTAATTGGCCACTAGATGATTTTCAAATTGAATATCATTTTCATTTTCCTTCAGAAGAGCCTGTCACTCAAATATACCATAAACATTCATAAAAATCACCTGGCCATTTTATGGTATGGTAATAGGCATACTATTTCATTTATACAGATTTTCCTATAGACTATAGCTTATGCAATATAATGTACATGGGGCATTGTACATAATATACATAAATAAATGTGTTTGGAGTAAAGAAAACTGTCATGACCCTCAAATGGTAAAATAACTGACAAAGATATTATTATTAAAGTTTTTCTATAGAACTTTAATATTTAATATATTTTTCCTCACAGTAGATGGGTCCACTCAAAATGAAGCAAGACAAAGTGGCAGGCACCAAAGCAAAACAGGGCAGATTACGATCTGTACTTAAACTATCATTGCTCAATCTTTTTTTTAATTATCACTTCCTAAAAAAAGGGTAAATTAATTGCTAAATCAAAGAAAATCAATTAATTAAATTTGATTTGAATTAGATTTAAGTTCTCCCCAATAAGAACAATTAAGCACTAAGGAATAAAATTTTGGGGGACATAGAATTGAACTTTGAAAGATCCTTCACCATTGTTAAATGTAAGTTTTGGGGTTTTTAAAAATTTCACCACCAAAGAACCAATTTTTGGCTCAATAATTGCCTCATTTTTATTGATGGTGCATGCATTTAGACACATCACAATTAAAATACAAATTCTGCTCCTGCTGTGTGACCTCAGGAAGTTATTTGTTTCAAGGCTCAGTGCTTCCTCCTCTTAATTAGAGAGATTAAATAGTAACTCTGTGCAGGGTTGCTAAAAGGTTTAAATGCCTTGCCGCATGTAATCCACTTAGCAGTGACTAAAGCTCAAGACAGCCAGTAAGAGGAGCTTCTGCTGCTGCTGTTATCATCATTTTTATTAGCAGGGAAGCTTAGGAAGAAACAGCTCAGCGAGGCAACTGAGTGAGACATAACATAAAAACACAGCAGAGCCTTCAACTTGGAGTGATAGGACACGAGAATCAAAACACACTTGAGTTCACCTTGAACCTGCAAGCAACTCCGCAAAAAGGCTGCTGGACAGCTGGCAAGTCAGAATCTGCATTTAAATAGAGCACAGAGTGTTCAGATAAGGAGAGCACTAGTGCCCGACTAGTCTCACTGCTAGAGGAGGGGAGACAGTAGAGGCCTGAAGGCTCTTAGTGCCCAGGACACAGCTACCACTTTCACATAAGCTGAGAAATGGCACCAAAATACCACTGCCATGGAGGAAGAAAGGATCAATTCTACAACTTCTTGACTATTGCCTAGTGAAAAAAATGGCAAGAGAGATGATTTGCAAGCCTTCCTCCTCCTGTGTAGAGACAACAGAAATTCTATCTAATTTCTAAACTTAAAATGGAAAATTACTCACCATAGGAAATATCCCCAAAGTGCAGAGCAGGAACATTAAAATGAAAGGTGGGTCCAATGACACAGCCTCTGAAAGTGGGGAGTAGGGAGAGAATCCAATGAATTCAAAGTAATGATGAGGAACCACAGAGAGGGCAAAGACAAAACCATAACTAGGCATTAAATCAATTACGGAATCCAGGAAACTATGAGATGACAGTCTTTCACAGTGGCCCTAAAATTATTTTCAAGACTCAAACCATGGGTTTATGATGATGCTGGGTTAATTTATAACCCCATTCCTAACAGGGAATGGGGCAGAGGCAGAGCAGACAGATCACCCAACCTCGCCCAGAATGAAGTTAATCTGGATGAGACACATATCATGTAAGGTGATTAACTCATCAAGAAATACAAATTATAGGTTCATCATATAGTAAACATCAAGGAGACCATGATCCCTGTCCAAGGCTTCATAAAACTGTTTCAGTTCCATCTTACCACCACTTCACTGTGACCTTGGCCAGTCACTTCACCTCTATTAGCCTCAGTTTCTCTGACTCCAGAGAAAAGAAAGGACTAGATTGGGTGACCTTGAAGGACCTTTTATTCCAAATGCTGATCTTTTTCTCAAAGCAGCCAAAGTAAAATAGATTAGACTTCACCAAAATATAAAAAGATATGTGCGTCAAAGGTCACTATTAAGAAAGTAAAAAGACAACCTACAGAATGGGAGAAGGATAGCACAGTTATGAAGAAGCAGGGCTTCATCATCTTGGAGAGATGTTCTATCCTAAAGTTAGTAATAGAGACATCCTGCAATTTCTAGCTTACTTCAGGTGGTAGGTAGAATAATAGTTCCCCAAAATGTCTTTGTTCAAATCCCCAGAACCTGTGAGTATGTTAGGTTACGTGGCAAAGGGGAATCAAGGTGGCAGATGGGATTACTGTTGCTAGTGAACTGTGCTATCCTTCTCCCATTCTGTAGGTTGTCTTTTTACTTTCTTGACAGTGACCTTTGAAGCATACATCTTTTTATATTTTGATGAAGTCTAATCTATTTTACTTCGGCTGCTTTGAGAAATTACTGCCTAATTCAAAATCAAAATCAGACATATGTATGCCTAAATTTTCTTCTAACAACTTTATAGGGTTTAGTAGGGTTTAGTTTTTTTGTTTTTTTTACATTTAGGTCTTTGATGCTGAGGAAATTCCCTTCTATTCCTACTTTGTTGGACTTTTTATATTTTAAAATCATGATGGTTGCTGAATCTGGGGGAATGATGTTTTTGTATTTATTGAGATAATCAGGTAGTCTTTTACTTCATTCCATTAATACTGCATGATATTAATGTTGTAATACATTGATTGATTTTCATAAGTTGAGCCATCCTTGCATTCCTAGGATGAATCCCACTTGGTCATGATGTACAATCCTTTTTATATGTTGCTGGATTTTTGTTTGCTACTGTTTTTAATATAATAACAATTTTTAATATAATAACAAACATATTTTATAGAAGAGCCTATAAAAGTCTTATGGATATTTCAAATAAAACTTCAGACTTAAAAGAAAAATCAGATTATGATTGTGACAGGCTGCCTGGGCCATGCTACAGAAGCCTTGAGACATATCCATTCACTCTCCTTGGGTATTGGGGTCATTATTAGTTAACTAGGGCTGCCATAATACAATACCACAGACTTGCAGCTTAAACAACAGAACTTGTAGGTGGAGGTCTTCTCTTGTGTCCTTATCTGGCCTTTCTCTTTTTTTGGTTTTTAAATCTTTTTTTTTCTTTAGTTGTCAATGGACCTTTATTTTTTATTTATATATGATGCTGAGAATCGAACCCAGTACCTTTCACATGTGAGGCAGGTGCTCTACCACTGAGCTACAGCCCCAGCCCCTCATCTGGCCTTTTTCTATGTTTGTCTGTGTCCCAATTTCCTTTTCTCAAAAGGACATCAGTCACCTGAGCAGAGCCCAACCTTATGACCTCATATTCACTTAATTACCTACTTTCAGGCTCTATCTCCAAGAACCACCATAGTCTAAGATACTGGATGGTAGGACTTCAATATTTGAACTTTGAGGGGACACAATTCAGTCCATAACAGGGACACTTAGGTAGACTTTTAGAAGAAATGAAAACCATCTTTGAACTGATCTTGAGATTCTGAATTACTAGTAGGTATCATGAAATCAGTAAATTTTCCTAGGATCCTTCAGGCCACAAGTGTCTGTTTCTTTTCTATGTTACACTTCGAGAAGGATCTCAGTTTGCACATAGGGGTGGAGGAAATGACTAGCAGCAACCATAATAAAGAGACTGTCATGGTAATTAACAACCTGTTGCCGGGAGATTTGAAATGGAGTCAGAGCAATATGTCTCCAAGATATGATCTTTCTATTTGAAAGATATGGCCTTTTAAAGTACCAGGAATCAAAGTTGTGTATCTGCCTAATGGGTTGGTAACAGAGAACTTCTTTTCAAAACCCCTGAGGACAAATTCTGCTATTAATGACTTTCAATTATCACGAGCAGCTGAGAAAGCCATCAAAAGACTTCTAGCATAAAAGGTGCAAGAGTCTAGGCTGGGCTGAAGGACATTATAAGTGGATTCTCTTACATTGCTTGAAGGCATTCTAGGTAAGATCATTTAAAGATTTCCCTTAAAGTAAAAATGAAGATGAAGGTTTAGAGAACCTGTTATTACATCTAAAGCTTAGGAGAGAAGATGATTTTATCAGGTGTTACTGTAATAATTCATTTTATCTAAACATCCCAAAGCAAAGAGTAACTAGAAACTAGTGTTTAAATCCTTATTCTAAAAGGTTAAAATTTACATAAAAACTAGATCTCCAAATAGGATCTCTATCCCTAGTATAATAGATCACACTTGTTCATTAGAGAAGCATCAGGGTAAATCTGACACACTCCATTATGCTGAGGCATTTACGTTGGCAAGGACATTTATGGGCATCTAAGATGTGATCTAGTTTTTAAGTTCAAGAAGGCAGTAAGTGAAAACTTTGGTTAGTTTCCATATTAGTTATAAATGTAGCTTACCTAATGGTCAGTTTCACAGGCTCTGGTGACCCATGGACATTGATCAGGAACTCCTCTTCAAAGTGCCCCAGGATGGCAGAACTGAAGCTTATCTGGATAGCTTGGACTCCTCTTGGTTGAATGATGCCCTCTTTGGGACAGAAAACAAAGCAGGCCCCCAACGGCGTAGTTGAAGGGGTCACGCTGAAGAGGGCATCGATGCTGCCTTTGTTGGACAGTATCGCCTGTGTCAATAAAAGGCAAGGATGAAAAGGTCAAGGGACCTGAGATCAACTTTCAAGGAAGAAACGTGGCTGTATTTATTTAACACCTATACAGGGAAAGTTGCAGGAGTTAGAACCAAAGGAAAGCTCTCGGGGGACAAGAACAGTTTGATGTTTCGAATGTTTGAAGATACAATTCTTAGGCCAGAAAGTAATTTGATGTTTTTAGTTCCTCTTTAAAATGAAGTTATTCACTTACACTCATGCTATCAAGTCTGATCATAATCCCTTTTATTGATGAAGAGTCTTAAAATACACTTTTTGGTTGATATTATCTACAAAGTAATCAAGGGAAGGTAGCCACTTTCCATTAAGTGAGAAGGCTGAAGTTAAATGGCATACTGAAGAACAAAAGCAACTCAGAATGGAGGGGCAGGAAATACCTGAGCCTATGCTTATCATGTAGCTTTAAGAACATACACTAGACCTTGTGGATTCCAGATGACAGGGATTCTCTTTGTAGCACCATCAGTAACTGTTTTGGACTCCTAGGCAAACAATGGCTTTGCTATAGAGAAGTTTTATCTTTCTATGATACTGTTCTTGGAACCAGGTTGCCACCCATAGTTGACTGCACACTAGGTTTTGTGTGGCCAGAGCTCAGCCCAGGTATTTTGAGTCCTCTGCATCTTGCCTTCATCTCCTGCCATTCATCACAGCTGCAGCATTATATTCTCAGCCTCCAAAGACACCACATCAATGCTGTCTTTATAACTACAAGGGTGAACAGCATGCTCTCTTGATTTATACAGGAACTGCTTCTCAACCTGCACTTAAGGCATTGGAGGACAAAGGGCACAGAGACATTAATAAGGTTAGCAGGAAAGTGTGAGGCATGTCAGGAACCTGGAATCCAGGGAGGAGGATTCTCAGATGTAGACAGAGGTCAGCAATATAAGCTGATCTTGAAGAAGACAATATTTGCAATGGACTGAGTAGGGACAGAGGAAATAGTGGTTGACTAGTTTGGATTACTACTTGGAAAGATGAGTGGTGAAAAGTGAGGATGGGAGTGGCAAAGTGGTGAGAAAATATTTTTAGAGGAGGTGGAATGCTTTTGTATTAAATGAGATAATGCACACTCAGTGACCAGTCCAGAAAAAGCCCCCATCAAGTAAGGCCTATTGTTGTCAGCAGAGAAGGGAGCTATGTGACCAAGGCAGAGAAAGGGGATATGTGACCAAGGATGTAAACTGAGGAGAAAGAGTTCAGCGATCAAGCTGTGTCAATAAGAGTGGTAGTTTAGAAAGAGTCAGTGGTGCATGCGTGTAATCCCAGCAGCTCAGGAGGCTGAGGCAGGAGGATTGTGAGTTCAAAGCTGGCCTCAGCAATTTATCAAGGTCCTAAGCAACTCTGTAAGACCCTGTCTCTAAATAAAATATAAAAAAGGGCTGGGGATGTGGCTCAGTCATTAAGTACCCCTGGGTTCAATCCCTGGTATCAAAAAAAAAAGAAAGTCAGTGGCCTCTGCAGAGAGAGATGGCCACTTCTGCCAAGAAAAGATGGCCAGTTCACTAAAGCAATCCATAAATAAAGGCTGCTTGCTGTTTGACTCATCTTTTTATGTTTGTTTTCTATCTCCCTTGTTCCAAGTTCCCTGGTAGCCTGGATGGTGCTTCACCCTTTAGCCCTTTTAATGACACCACATAGAAAAGTGATTATGGCCAGAGACTCTGGAGCCAAACTGCCCGAGTTCAAATCCCAACCTTGCCATTAACTTACTGGCTGTGTAACTTTGGACAATCTCCTTACCTTCTATGAGCCTCAGTTTCTCCATCTGTGCTATTAACTTCTCATACTGCTAGAAAATTAAATTTATTAATTTGCATAATTTGTAGAATAGTGCCGGACAAATAATGCTTGCAAGTGATAGTGGCTATTATTTGTGTCCCCAGTGCTAAGCAGAATGGATACAGAATTTACCTGTGCTTAAGAAGTGACAGACACATGCTAGTGGTAACTTGAAGGCTCCCTGTTCTCTCTGAGAAAATGTACAAATTGCCTTTTTGTTTCTTTTCTTTTTACTTTATTATTATTATTATTATTATTTTTGGTTAAAAGCTTTTAAAAAAGTACTATTTTTACCCAGATTTTCTATATAGTCACAGTTTACAATTCCTCCATTTTCAAAAATCTGCATGTCATTCTCCTACCTCTTGATAAAGGAGGTCCTATTTATAAACACAGAATCCAGGAAATAGTTTGGAACATGATTCTGGGGCCTTTTGATTACTGGTGATACTCTTACCTTTGTGGTCCAACTCCTGGGAGAAGGGAACATTTATAATAAAACTTCATCTCCCATTTGTTTTCCTTCTTAATTACGCTGGGGAAGAGTGTATTCTCTTGGGGTTACGGTTTATTCTTTATATATCTGCTAAGCTCAGCAATGACTAAGGGCAATACTTATTCAAATTCGTCTCTTGCAGGTAATGTAATAAATTGAAAGAGAGACGCAATGAGGCATCAGCATTAAATGCGCAGAGAGTGCAAAACACTCCCATGAGACGCACCTCACCATGTCCTTTCCTGCCACTGCTCCACTCTCCGAGCTGTCTGATCTGATGCATCTCCTCACCTAGCACTTTAGCTGGCTGTGATTTGCTTTACTGCTAAAATCTGGCAGGGTGGGTGGGGGTGGGGGTGGGGAAGCGGGCTCGGGGGAGAGAAGTGGCCTAAAGTACACTTCTGTTAAATTGTAAGAAATTATTATTACACTCAGGGAAACCCTAACTATTTTGCATCAAAACTAAAGGCCCTTTTTTGGAGTGGCTTCTGTAAAGATGAAAGGGAAAATCACACTGCATGAGTTACAGAAGGAATACCAATTAATAAGAACTATTGCCCTTTTCCCTCTACCTAAGGGACTCTTCCCTCAAGTGCAACATAGAACAATGCAGAATATAGCTGTACCACTTTTCATTTTTTGACACTCCTGTGACCGACTTCTTCATTCAAATCGTATTCTTATGTATGCTCCATTTCCTCATGACATTAACATCTCTGCTTACCTTTTGCATCACCCCATTTAGGCTGTAATTACCCTAGAGAATGCAGAGATGAAGGACACTGTGCCCACACCAGGTTAGGCAGGGTTTAGAGCTGAGCTGGCTGTAGGCTGGATTTTGCCCAGGGTAGAGAGTGGGAGGCTGAGATCCTGATAGATTGAAAGGACAGCAAAGGGCCTTCTATTCCCAGAGCAGGACTGTGAGGGCACTGGTAACATGGGGGTCACAACATTTACAAGCGGTGTGACTGGCCAACTTACTTAAGACCTCTGGCAGCAAGGTTTGCTGTTTCCTGATCCCCTTTCCTTGTTTTTGCTGACAGCCTGGCCACATTCCCCAGCCTCTTTGCAGTCACATATGGATAATGGAATGTGAATGAAAGTCCCATGTGTCGCCTCCTATAAAAATCTCATGTACATTCCTGTATGCTCTTTCCCCTCCTGCCAGCATGATACGATACAGGTGAGGCCAGAATCTTGTAGGCCCACAGTAGGGATGGCTGAGCAGGAGATGGAAGGAACCTCGGTTCCAGATTATCCACTGGAGAGGAGCACCTACTGAACCTTTTTTTGGATCTACTCAGCATTACCTTAACTAGTAAATCTTCCCTAAGCCTCAGCTTACTCAGCTATAAAGTGGGAACTAATTGAACCCACTCTGTAGGGTTTTTGAGGACTAACTAAATGTCAAAGCACTAGAACTATCTCAACACACATTATTAGCCATGTTGTTGAGGGCATAACCTTATGCCTTATATTTCTCAGTGTAAAATAGGCAGAATAAAGCCTGTCTTCCACAGCTTTGTAAGGAAAATTTAGAAATCTCACACACACACACACACACAGAACATGACTTGCCATTCATTAAATAACTACATTTATAACCTCTTTAATACAAATATACATGATTTCGGGAATTTCTAAAAGAAATTTCAATGGTTATAGTTTGATATAGTGTAAAAATGTGCTTTAGAAATAAATTTAAAGATAAGGTGACATTGGAGTGACTTTGACCCTGAAGTACCCATGAGTCCGACACCTTGTAAAATTCCATTTTCTATTCCGTTGGGAAGACAAAGCAGGGAAGGTATCCTCTAGTAACCATGATGACTATTTTTTAAAACATGGATTGGAGACTAGGGCATTCAGAGAAAATTCTGTCTGAGAGAACAGCTAGCCTCATTAAGACATTCTAGAAAATGTAAAAAGTTCTCTCTCCTCTGATCTGGAGGATTTATGTTGTCAGGGAACAAGCATTAAACAGATGGGAAGATGTATTTATGGTTTCCCCCTTTGAAATCTACAAAACGAAGAGGATAAAACCAATTAAATGATGGCTTGATGCTTTTTAGCTTTTAGTGAAGTTCAAGGGGGCTGAGGCTGAGAAAGTTGCTTCTCTCAACAGGGTGAGGCGAGAGGAGTCTGCATTTTGGGGTCTGGATGAGAATAAGTAGTGGGAAAAGGATGTGACCGAACAAACTTTCTACCAAATAAAAACACAAAATAAAAAAAATTTTAAAAGTAAGTATCATTTGAAGTCTCATTAAAGATTGTAGTGCTCACCTCATAGCAATGTACAGATCCAATGAAAACTTTCCCAATATCCAGCAGTTCAAAGTTGAAGTGAATTTTAGGGCCCATTCCTTCCCCTTTGATTCGCAGAGGCAGACGGATCTCTCGGCCTATAAAAATAATTCAGACTTGGTACCCCAAATGGTGCTTTATCACCCCAAATTACCCCTTGACATCTCACCTGGGGTAAAAAATCACATGTCCTGACTCCCTGCACTACATTGAGGGAACTGAAATTGAACCAATACAGAAGGTTTATCTTTAGGAAACAGGAGTACTGCTGGCGTCTCACCTTTAGGGAACGGCGTATATTGCAATTTAGGCTGACATTTTAGAAGGAAAAAGACAATTAAAAAAATTTAATCTCCAGGCACAGCAAGACAAATACCACAGGTTTTCACTCACGTGCAGAAGCAGAAAAAGTGGATCTCATAAAAGTAAAGAGTAGAATAATGATTATCAGAGGTTGAGAAGGCAGGGGGAAGAGGATAGGGAAGGATTGGTTAACAGTACAAAAATACAGCTTGGCAGGAGGATTAAATTGTAGTGTTCTGTAGCACAGTAGGGTGACTAGAACTGACAATAATTTATGGTATATTTAAAAATAGCTAGAAGAGAGGATTTTGAATGTTCTCAACACACAAAAAAATGATAAATGTTTGAAATGATGGATATACTAATTACCCAGATTTGATCACGACACCTTGTACACGCATACCAAAATGTCACACTGTCAACCATACATATGAATAATTATTATGTCAATTAAAAATGAAATTTAAAAAAATTAACCCAATTCTTAACATGATTCTGAAGTTTCTTATAAAAGATGCAATTTGTTCAAATCAGAGAAGGGTGGCCGCAGACTAATGCTTCTCATAAAATGAGAGCCATCAAGGGGCTCCCAGGGACACTGCTCACATTGGTCTTCCTTAGATTTGGGAAGCAAGGTACTTGAGTCTGAGGGTCTCATCTGGACCCTTACTTTGCAAAGTTTCTTCTACACAAAGGTAATGGAATGCACTTAACAGTATCTATTATAACACATCTGTAATGGAGCCAGGGTCAACAGAAAGCATATAACTGAGTGGATTTTTGTTTTCTTTTTTTTTTTAATGGAAATAACTTTATGATTAGATAATACATGTTCATTATTTATACAAATTATAGAGTACATGGAAATCTTCTCATAATTCTGTCCTCTAAAGAGAACCACTACTAACATCTTGGTGCCTATACTTCTATGCTTACTATGCTTAATTATATAAAAGTACTATATAAGTGGTGGGAAAAGGATGTGACCGAACAAACTTTCTATCAAATAAAAACACAAAATAAAAAGAGCATATGCTATATATATATATATATATATATATATATATATATATATATATATATTATCTGGTAACCTGCTTTTTAATTTTTTCGATATTTGTAAATTTTTATATATTTATAAATATATTTGTTAAGGGCTAAATATTTATCAATTAAAAAATAAATGTTTAATTAGGATAGAGAGTATGATATTTTGAAATACATTTAAATAATAAAAAGGTTATTATAATAATAACCTGATTTTTTCACTTAAATATATATATTTGGAACATATTTCTAATTTTATTTCTTTTTAAAAATTTTTAAATTCTAATTTGTTATGTATGACAGCAGAATGCATTACAATTCATATTACACATATAGAGCACAATTTTTCATGTCTTTGGTCATACACAGAGTAGAGTCACACCATTCATATCTTCATACATGTACTTAGAGTAACGATGTCCATCCCATTCCACCATCTTTCCTACCCCCATGCACCCTCCCTTCCCCTCCCTGCCCCTTTGCTCTATTGTCTAATCTTCCCATGCTTCCCCGCCCCAATCCCATTATGAATCAGCCTCCTTATATCAGAGAAAACATTCAGCATTTGTTTTTTGGGGATTGGCATTACATTCTCCAACTCCATTCATTTACCTGAAAATGCTATGATTTTATTCTCTTTTAATGCTGAATAGTATTCCATTGTGTGTGTGTGTGTGTGTATGTGTATGTATGTATGTATGTGTGTGTATGTGTGTGTGTGTATGTATGTGTGTGTGTATGTGTGTGTATGTATGTGTGTGTGTGTGTATGTGTGTGTGTATGTATATATATATATATATATATATATATATATATATATATATATCACACTTTCTTTATCCATTCATCTACTAAAGGGCATCTTGGTTTGTTCCACAGTTTAGCTATTATGAATTGTGCTGCTATGAACATTGATTTGGCTGTGTCCCTGTAGTATGCAGTTTTTAAGTCCTTTGGGTATAGACTGAGGAGAGGGATAGCTGGGTCAAAAGGTGGTTCCATTCCCAGTTTTCTAAGGACTCTCCATACTGTTTTCCATATTGGCTGCACCAATTTGCAGTCTCACCATATATTCGGAACATCTTAATATTCTATTATCTAAAGACTTATCTTACCCTTCTTAATAGTTACACGATTGACTACAGGATTGCAAAAATTTGATGTATAAATAGTTTCCAGCAGTGTAATTACCATCCCTGAACATATCTCTGTGAATACCTTTCCTACATTTTCTTTAATCATTTTGAAAATACCCTGTCATTTACTGTTTCTGCTGAGAAGTCAGCTCATAGTCTCATTGTTCATCCAGGGTAACGTGTCCTATCCTGTGACTCACTTTTGGTTTTGGTTTTCAGCAGTTTTTCCGTGTTTTCAGGTATGGTTGCACTCATCCTTCTCAGGCTTTGTAGCACTTCCTGACTGTGTGACAAGTACCTGCCATCAGTTTTGGAAACTTTCTGGTCTTTATCTCTTTGAATATTGCCTCTGCCTTATCCCACCTGACACATGCACCCTTTTGGCCACATTCCTGTAGACTCTTATTCTCTTTTATGCATTTTGTCTCAACGTGCTTTAGTATTTTAGATATTTTCTTTTGATTTCTCTGACTTCTATTTTATAAAGAAAGCTATCTCTGGCTATACCTAATAGGCTGTCAGATTCATCCACTAAGTTCTTATTTTGTTATTATAACTTATTAGTTCTAGGCTTTCCATTAGATTTTAAAAATGGTTTTCAGGTCTGTGCCTACTTTTGTCTGATAATTTTTTTTAAAAATCTATATATGTAATTATATTATCTTATTCTTTGTAGGTTTGTGCCTATTGTTTATCTTAGTTTTGTATCACATTATCTTACCTCCTCATATGCTTGTCTATTTATTGACTGAATGCTAATTAGGGTCTATAAAAATTATAGAAATAATTTGAAGCTCTGACAAGATATCTATCTCCCTCTAGTTTCTGACTGGTGACTAGGAAACATTTACAATCCCAGAAAATCTAATTTAACTGTTCTCAACTAAGATTTTACTAGAGAATTAATCCATGCAGCATATCATTTGAGTGACTTTTAATTCTCCAAAGAAAGGTATATAGCAAACATGATCCTTGATATAAAGACAGGACCTAATTCCATACAAATAGTAGATGCCTTAGAACATTAGGGATTTATTATTTTTTTGGAAGCTCAATGAAGAATTGTCTCAATCAACCAAGTCAGTAGGTGAAAAATGGTTCAAAACCAAGTTTCAGTCTTGATGAGGGCTGGACCATTTTCAGCTCCTACTGGGTGGGTCCCAGGGTCCTTCCTCCTTGGCCATCCCTTGGATGTCTAAACTTTCTCCCTTAAGCCAACTTTTCAGTCTCTATAAGTTTCTACCCCAGTGTCTTTAATAATAAAGTCCTCAAAGTCTGATTGTCTTGATTTTCTTCTGGATCTTGGCCCCAGGATTCTTGTTATCATCCTTTGCCTTTAAAACAGATTTTAAATATTTGGCTTTGATTTCCTCATTGTTCTTAGCAAGACAGTTAATCCAAACAACCCAGCCCACCATTATTAGAAAAAGGATTTCTAGAACAAAGGGATGCATGCTTGACATTTTGACAGTTACAGCCGTATTGCCCTCCTGAATGGTTGTACTAAGTGCCCACCAACATCAGGGGTTCCTGTCTCCATATCCTTCCCAGCAGTGGAGATAACAGTCTTCTTGAAAATACTTGATAGTTTGATGGTTTTCCTTAAATTTCTACCATTTAAGTTTCAAGTTATTTAAGGAAAAGGAGTATATTTGCTCTGTATATAATTTCTGAACATTCAAAATTCTTTTGATGCTCTCTTAGGTATAATTTTCAGTATTATGGGAAATACACTTAGAAACACCAAGTGGTGTTTCTAATTTATTATCAACATTATAATGCTGGGTGGTGTTTTATCTCCTACTATCTTCTGTTGCTATTTAGCTGGTTTATCTTCTACCCATGACACCCAAGACAGGAATAGTGTCCTTTTGTCCCTTGGCAACATAGTGTCATTAAGTGAGTATTGCTTTGATTATAAGAAACAAGAGGAATCCTAGCAATATTTGGGATAGCTGACTTAGTCACAGGGTTCCCTGGAAAAGAGATTCCTGATGTTAGTGACAATACTCTAGAATAAAAACAAAGTTTCCAGAGGACCCAAACACTGTCACCTACTCCACTGTGCTAGAGTTCTAATCTAATGGCAATAATGTGTACTCCTTGGTTGAGATCAACCAGAGATATGAAAAATTGTGCTGTATAGATGTAATAAGAATTGTAATGTGTTCCGCTATCATTTATTTTTTAAAAAAATCAATAAATTTAAAAAAAGAAATGAGAATAAATAAATAAATAACAAAGAACACTATGAGAGAGCGAGAGAGTGGGAGCGAGAGCGAGAGAGGGAGAGAGGGGGAGAGAAAGAGAAAGAGAGAGAGAGAGAGAGTAAGAGAGAGAGAGAGAGAGAGATCTCCAGCTTTCAGAATGGCAAAGAAAGAAAATTGCAAATATATCATGGAATCAACTGCAGGACTATTTATAACTGTCAGGCCCAAAACCTTCTCCATCTGTTACCTTGACTGCCTTCCTTTAAAAAGTGGAGATGTGTTATAATAAAGCAGTGGGCCAATGTTTCTTTGGGAATTATTAATTACTTCAAAGGAGCTTGTCTTATTTGTAGCTAGCTTCTTCCCTCAGCCAGCACGGAACGGGAGTACAAGTAAGAACCA